AGGTTTTAATCTATGTATAGATGGGAATACTGACCACTTGGAAATCCTGAATTTGATCTTGTATGAGGTCAATATTCCCATTTCTCAATTCTCCTCTCTCCCTCCCCTGCAAAAGGAAATGGCTGTATAAGTGTGGTGTCAACGCAAATGGCCATGGAGGCACAGAGCTCAGTGACCAGATTGGGGGGGGGGGGGATATGTAGTGGGCCACTTGGAGCCCTAAACATTACTAAGTTTGAAGACTTCTCAGTGAACTGTGAATTGTCTGTTCCAGATGGGAAGTCTGGTGCTTTATAAGATGGAAAAAAGCTATTTCCATGGCAGAGTACCTTAACCTGACCTCAGCCTCCCTCAGCAACAGGTTTGCTATAAAATGGGGGCTTTATTGTGATGATCTTCCCTCAGCAAGCTGTTAATTGGTCATCTTTGCACTGTGACAAGCAGGCTGTAATTTGCATATTTCTTTGCTCCAGTGTTTGTTAAGTCTGCAATCTTATCTTTCCATTTAATAAAAAGCATCTGTGTATTTCCTTTGCTTATTTTGTAGAAGAATGTCTTCCAAGCAGGCCACCTCTCCATTTGCATCTGATGGAGAGGGAACAACAACCCAGGACTTAGCGTCACAGGAGCAGGAAGACGGCAATAATGAAGAGCTTGTCACTTCCCATCTGCCTCTGCACACCATATTGCACAACAAACCTCACTCTGAAGAGCTACCAGCTCTAGTCACTACAATCCAACAAGACTCAGACTGGAACAGTGTTATCTCAACTCAGCATAGGATGGTATGTCCGAGGCATCGTTTAGGGCGGCTTTCCTTAACTATGATACTTTTTGAGGTTGTACTGTGGGTTGGCTTGACTATTATACTAAATTATAGTAGCTCCTGTTTATGGAAATGATCCCAATCTCTGCTAGATTCACATGGTCCTCATTTTTTTCTTGAGATAGTTTGTGGTTAATCTCAGGTAAAGTTAATGAAAATAAGTTAGCTTCATGAACTGTTGTTTTGAATTTGGACAACATATCAAAATGAAAGCAAGACCTTCTGATTTCCTCCTTTCAGCAGTATCAGAGTGCAATAATTCCTTAAATACTAAACCATGGCTAAGTTGTATGTTAGAATATAATGAGTAAGAAAGCAGCAAGCTTAACAGTTCTTCTTCTTCTTCTTCTTCTTCTTCTTCTTCTTCTTCTTCTTCTTCTTCTTCTTCTTCTTCTTCTTCTTCTTCTTCTTCTTCTTCTTCTTCTTCTTCTTCTTCTTCTTCTTCTTCTTCTT